TTTTTTTTTTTTTTTTTTTTTTTTTTTTTTTTATGGCCAGAAATCTCTTAAATTTTTTTTTCAGAAGTTCATCTGATTTTAGTTATTTATTTTTTATAGATATTCTGTAATTTTTTAAAATAATGCGAGGAAACGTCATCTTTTATTTTGATGTAGTTCTTATCCCGAAGTAATATATGTAGGCATGCATTCTTCAACATGTATTATTATAGAAAAATAGAGGTTTCAACTAATTTTTTTTTTCCTTATTTACTTTTTTGGTACCAGGAATTGAACTTGGGCAGGTGTTGCCAGGCAGGCACTGTACAGCTGAGCTATATCCCCAGCCCTAATTAATTTCCTTAAAAAAAATGAGTGTGTATATTTATGTATGTATGTGGACACTGAGAAACCTTATTCACATAAATTAAGCCTAGCCAAATCCAGCATGCCTTCATCTTAACTTGATTTTATGTGCAAAAGTTCTGTTTCTAAATAATTCATATTCACAGGTACCAGGGGTTAGGATTTAAAATGACCTTCTGAGAGATACAGTTCAACTCCATTCATTTGATAATTTTAGTCTTCAGATTTCTTGGAAGAATACCACTAGTGCTTTACCGGGACATGAAAAGACTGTTAACTTATACTTGCTACTCTTCCATTTAGTAGCAACTTGTTCAGCATATGACTAGAAAGGGCTTAGGAAAGCAAAATGCTGCTAATTTCAGTGCATATTTACTAATTTTAATTTTAATATTTTTAAAGCTTGGAAACAACTTTATATGTATGAAAGATTTTTCAGGCAGGGTTTGGAGCTGCAAATTTCCTTCATTGCATATTGAAAATATGTACTGTGTACCTTAATTGGTAAAAGGCTTTCTCGTTGTCAAACTGGACAACGAAGACACACATTGTTTCTATCAGAACAAAGTCTGACGTTATCCCTGAAATGAAGAGAATTGTCACAGAGCTACAAATATGGTGCTGACTTCCTAACACTTTTACCTTGCTTTCATGGGACTGTCCTTCAAGTTTCTTTTTTTAAACTAGTTCAGGGGAAATTGTTACTACTGCTTCACTATTGTACAATACATCTGAATTTAGAACAGCTTAGGCCATAAGCCAAAATATTCTGATTTTATGCTTCTTACATTGCCTTTGACAAAAAGATATATAACCAAGAAAACACAAAGCCCTAGGGAACCTTTATGTTTCTTCAAATCTATTTTACTAATGAGAATAGTATTTTAAATTCACTTTTTAAGTCATGGTGGTTTCTGTGCCCAGAAAAAGTTTATTACAGTAACATCCTCTTATAAAAAGGATGAGGATATTTTTAGGAGAAATTAACTGAAGAATTAGTGTGATTCTTTACCTGCAGGTACATAAATCTTTAGGGAGGAATAAATATAGAAATTGAAGATTCAGAAATCAGTTCTCTAAAGCTTTTTCCACTGCAAAGTATTCATATACTGAATGTAGTATTGGTATACTCCATTGATGTAGTAGTAAGTATCAAAATTCCAATTATACTGAAGTAACTTTACAGTCTGACTTCAGTGTGTCCTAGGCAATTGCTCTATGCTAAGTTACATCCCCATCCCTTATGCTTGTATATTCTAATACTAGTTCTCATCCAGCCCAGTGCACTGTACTTATAGCTACATGTCCCTTGTTCATGTTGTTTCTCTCTTCTCAGCCTCATAAGCTTCTCTTTATTCTTTCAGCATCCAGTTTATAGTTTTTATCATGTGAGTTCCAGTGCACTGTAGAGACAAAACTAATTATTTCCTTTATAAGCATCTCTTCATTGTGCTTCTTTAAAAAAAGCTTGACTAGTTTTCTTTTCTCTGTCTTTCACAATTTGTTAATGCCTGGCACTTAGTGAATGTGTAAATGAGTAAATGCCGTATAATACAATATAGCAAAACCAGTTTTGAAAATTGTTAGTAAAACTATTTATGTCATCTAGATAGATTTTGAAATGAATGAAAATTAACCATCATCAAACACAGAACATTACATTT